AGGAGTCGTCCGGGAAGCCGCGCGCGCCGCCTGCCGCCGGGCGCCTGGGGAGGAGGCGCCGGGTGGGCTTCAGATGAGCCCAGGGCTCGGAGCCACACGGCCGGGAGGGGGTGGGGTCAGGGGTGGAGGGCGGGGGTGGGGGGAAGCCCCCAGCCGCTCGTGTGGACTCGGGCTCCCGCAGTGTCCTCACCTGAAACGTGCATGGCCCGCTACCGAGCTCACCCTGTGGGCTGCGAGGAGAGAAGTGAGGGGCGCATGGAAAGTGGGCACCTGCGGCATTAGGAGACCAGGAGCTGCCTGCTGAAATTTCAGGAAACAAAGTAGACGTCCTTTTCCATTCGTACTTCACAGGAAATTGATATTATTTGTATTCGTTCTTAGTTTTCCTCTGACTGATGGGGAACGCAGGCGAGGGGGAGACCTCTCCCAGAGGTTCAGATGTTCCCGCCTTGTCTTGACAGCCGCCTGGAAACTAAATCCGGAGTCACCATTTTACTGCCCTCGTCCAGTGATCCCCTACCCTCCTTCCCCGAATCACCACCCCTGGGGTGTACCTGGAGGATCTGAGCTCTGGTCCTCCTCACTGGGCATCTCTGAGGTATGCAGTGGGGAGTGAGGGACAGTCTTGGTATGAGGTCCCCTGCGGGGGGGCGGGTAGGGGGGCGCAGTCTCCCAGAAAGGTCTGAAGTGGTCACTGTGGCCCCAGCTCAGCAACCCTGGGGAGTGGATGTGGTCCCCTGGAGGCTGCAAGGGACTGACCCTTGGAAGGTATGGGTCCTTGCTCAGTCATAGCCCTTCAAGCCTGTGTCTCCTCCTGCGGGGGGGGGGGGGGGGCTGTGCTCTGTCACTGTGGGGGAGGCCTCTGAGGTTCCAGATTGTGTCAGTAAGGAGGCAACTCTAAGAGTGTCATTACATTGGGGACCCCCAGCGCAGGTGGGGGACCTGAAGGGGCTGGGTGGTCCTTGGCGCCACAGGGGAGCCAGCATGCTGGGACCAAGGGCCAAAGCACTCCACCTGACCAACAGATGCCCCTGGGGTACCTTCTCATTTGGCTGAGCCACCTCCCAGCACCCTTGGGCGCTCACTGGGACCCTGGGCTCTGTCAAGCTTTGTCAGGGACCTTGGATATTCATCTCCAACCCTGCCTCTGCCCCTTTGTTCCCACATGTTAGCTTGTGTCTTGCTTAAGCATGGGCTCCACTTCCCTTTTCAACATCTGTCTGGCAGGTCCCAGTGCAGGGATTTCAGAGTCAGACTGCTGGGGGTTCAAACCCCGTCACTTACTAGCTGTGGGACGTCAGTCAGGTCCCTTCCTCTAACTGGGTCTCAGCGTCACCCTCTTGAAAATGGAGCAGATAGGAGATTGAACCACATGAATTTGCCGTGTTTGCAGGGCAACAATGGTTGGATACTGGCAATTTCATGTGGTTCAGCCTAGTAATGCCTTCCCCGCAGGGCTGTGGTGTGGATTAATGCTCAGTGGGGTATCAGGTGCCCAAAGCTCAGGGACAGCTGATGTCCCTTCTGCCCTCTGTGTCCCAGGAATGCGTGTGTTCTCCAGGGTGAGGCAAGCCCCTCCCTCCTCGGACTCTCCCCTCTAAGACTGTGCTCCCTCATGCCCTCTCCTGCCTGCCCTTCCAAACTCCCACCCCTGCTGCCCTGGGCGCACCAGGCTCAGATCCTGCCCCTCCCCAGGTGCAGCCTCTTGGGCTGTTTGGGCATCTCCCGGGATGTCCAGGGGACCAATCTCAAAACAGAGTCTTATCTGTCTACATGCTGGCTGACTGCCTCTGTGTCCCTCAGAATCTTGGGGTCTCATTTATAGACAGGGCAGTGTGAGTGAGGGGCAGCGTGAGGCCTGTCATGAATATCTCTCGGGCTAGTTGCTGGCCTGTGGACAGCACAGCCTTGGGCTCTGACAGGCAAGCAGTGGGAGTGTGGCCCTTTCTGGCCCTGGATAGAGACGGGTACTCCCCCGTGGGGCGGGGCTCAGAGCAGGAGTGCTCTGCAACAGGGCTGGTGCCGTTTGGAGGCCGGGCGCTGGGCAAAGCATTAGAGTAAGGTGATTGCTCCCAGCTCTGTGGCCCCCTGCAGGACTTCCTAAAGAAGCTTTGGGTCAGAGCTGGAGCTAGGTGCACTCGGAGGCTTGGGCACGGGTTTGTATGATCACTGTGGCCAGTTCCTCATGGTGGAAGAGAGTGAGGTCCCCTCGGGTGGAGTTGGTGGGATGCGTGGGAAGAGAAGGAAACTGACGTTCGATGAGCACCTGCTCTATGCCAGGCTGGTCTTGTTGCAAAATGGGCAGCTCAACTTCCCAGGAGGTGGCAGAGAGAGTTCCTGAACAGGACCTGGTCCACTGAATTGTGTTATTTGTCCAAGGAACTAAGATGGAGACTGAACCTGAAAGAGTCTATGGGAGGGAGAGCTCTAGGGTCCTACTTTTCAGACTCCTTTTGTCCCCATTTCATCCCCTGACCTAGGAAGGAACCAGGCCCTCCTGTAAGATAAGTATTGCTCCCCCCACCCCACCCCCCCATATAGCTGAGGGAACTGAGGCTCAGAAAGGTTCAGCGACTCTCCCAAAGCCACCCTGCTGATAGGTGGCAGGGCTGGAATTGGAACCCAGGACAAGTACATGGCCTGCTGGCCTCCCTAGGATCCTGATGTTTCTCTACTGTTTTTCCAGATGCCAGTGTTGGTTCGGCCCCCAGACAACTGGGGAGACAGGGCTACAGCCTGCTTTTGAGTGAAAAGCCCCCCCTCTCCTGCCAGCAGCAAGGTGACCCACTCCTTTCAACCACATGGTCTCACTGGGACCATTCTTAACCCTGAACTCTTAAGTCCCAGTTGGTGGAGTTGTGGCTGGATCGTGATAGCTTTTCACCAGGCTCTGGTGGCATCTAAGTCCTATCTCCTTCTTTACTTGATTCTGCTCAGGAGCACCTCCCCCAAGAGATCCTCTGTTCCGGAGACCCCCCACCTCTCAGAATGTTCTATGAAAGAAATCCAGCTTTTCTGCTGACCTGGGGCTCTTGGATTTGAGTCACTGCCACCTTGACCCTGGAGTGCGCTTCTGGAAATCCTCAGTCCTGGTGCACAGAGGGCCTTTCTGGGGTGGGGGCTCATGGAGTCTCCTCCTGGTGGGGCCCTCTCAGCCTCTGCAGAAACATGCAGAGGCCGCTGACAGTTCCATTCCTTTTCTGGTCCTGTCCCCATGCTCACTTTCCTGCCTTGCTGCTCTCCCAGTCCCAGCACTTCCCTCGTCTGCCTGTTCCCACCAGCTGCTGGGATCGGCTGATTTGCATTCAGGCATTCGTGTGGTCTAGTCAGCAGTGACAGGTGTGGGGTGTCCCGGGCCACACATGCCCATCCCTTGTGTTAGCTCTTTATGGCTTCTCTAAGAAGGGGCCTGCAAGCCAGGCAGAACCCCAGTGCTGTCTTCTTCGGCCCTCCCTTTCCTCCTGTCCTGGACCTCTTCCTCAGTCTATTCTTTACATCCAAATGATCTTTCTAGAATGGACGTGGGCTTGTTGGCCAGCATTCCTGCTCTGGCCCACCTCTCCAGTCTCATTGCTTACCACTGCCTTCCACCTACGCGGGGCTCCGGTTATTCTGAACGGCCTGCTGTTCTCTGAGGAGTCTCTGCTCTTCCCTGCCTCCCTATCTTTGTGCATGCTGTTCCCCGCACCTTGAATTCCTTCCTCTATTTGGTCCACTGAATGGCTGACTCCTTTTCAACTTTGGGGCTGTGCCTCAATGTCGCATCTTCTCTCATCTTCCTGTTTCCTCTCCGATCTCCCAGCTCACGGGCATTGCATTCATACTGGCTTTGGCCATGGCGATATGACCTTGAGGCTCACCTGTGTTCCTGGGGGCAGTTCTGTGGTCTGGGAGGGACATGGCTGTATGTCATCCTCACCCTCGTTTCTAGCATGGGGCTTGGCACATGTTTATTGAGTGAATGAAGACGCGAGGACTTTCTGGAGCCCTCCCTATCCACGAACTCTGCTCTGATCATGCTGTCCTTGGCTAGTTTGGAGCCTCTGGCATTACTCCTGCCATTGACCCAGCCCTGGTTGATGGTCAGCCAGAGCCTGGGGTGTCTCTCCCATTGGCTGCTTCTAAGCACAGTGCACCCACCACCGTTTTGTGCAGCTTTGGCTGCTTTTGGACTCACATACTGGGCCTTGCATTTGGCCTTGCTACATTTCATTTTGTCAGGTTCTATTCCAAACAGTCCTTTCTGCCAGAAGACTGTGGTGCCAGAAAAATCCTCCTGCCTCTGAGATTCAGTAGCCAAAATAACCAGACTATAAACTGTCAGTTGAATTTATGCCTTGATCTTGTAAATGGCCAAATATAGCTCATCTTTATAAACCAAATCAAATGCATGGTGAGTGACATTTAGGACACGAGACATACAGATTTTCCTGATCTCTGGTTAATTTTGGCCATACTCTGTAAAAACTGCTTTTAAATTAGCACTTGATCGTGAAGAATATATATATGTTCACAAATGGACTTGAGCATTCTGTGGGACTTAAAGAATATCTGAACTAGGGTCTTCCTCTGTGAACGGTGTATATCACAATGGGACTCGAGGAGCACGTGCATGAGAATCATCTGGGCCACTTGTTAAGATACAGGTGCCTGGGCCCCATCCCAGACTCACTTCATTGCATCTCCTGGTGAGGGGCTCTGGAGTCTGCACTTTTGACATGCCTCTGGAAGGATTCTGATGCTTCCTGAGGGTTGGGAACTGCCCTGGGGGATTAATGACAGCTAGAGACCCCGTGACGAAGGTGAATCACAGTGGTATGTGGAAAGATCTGGGAACTCTCTAAGTCAGAGTATCTGTCACTGGCATTACCACCTGGAGATTCTAGAGTCCAAATTCCAATTTGGTCTTAGCAGAGGGTCCCTTGTGTTGAGGAGACAGCAGGGGAAAAGAGATAATCTGTGCCAGGGCATGGAGCTGTGGACCAGGCTGGTGTGCTTGAGATCTGCAAGCTAGTTCAGGTGACTTGAGCATGGACAGCGCAGTGAGTGGGCAGCCCGTAATCTTGGCCCTGCACGTGTGCAGCATGATGGGCAGGAGGAGAGACCTGGTGTGCAGATGACCCAGTCTTTGCATCCGTGTCAGTCTTCAACTCTGCCGTGTGTCGCCTGAGAAACAAGGCTGGCAGGGCAGGTAGGGCCTGAGACCAGGAGGGTGTACTGGGTGTTGAGCTCTGAGGTTTGGTTTTATCCTCAAGGGCAGGGGGCTCTGTGGAAGGACCTGAGCACACAGTGGCATTTGCTGCTGTCTCTATTTGGATAAAATGTGACAAGAGGATTTCTGCCCATACTCCCTAAACAGTTCTGTCTTTGTACTCTGTGTACAAAACTCTAGTTTCTTTATCATTAAAACAGCCTGGAAGCCTGAGGTCAAAGGCAATGTGTATGACAAATTCTGGCATCAGACCAGGATTCACATCTGAGCTCTTTGACTGATTAGCTGTGTGACCATGGGCAAGTTGCTTTACATCTCTGAGCCTCAGGTCCTCCAGGTCCCAGCAGCCTTGGGATGGCAGAAGCTATGAACCTCTCTATGTGGCTCCCACCTCTCCCTGGATTCCGCACAGGAGGCAGGATCCCTGAGTACCATTGCTCTGTTTGCTTTGTAGGCATCGTCATTGAATCTTCCAGAATCTTCTCACCTGCACCATGAACATCTCGCACTTCCTGGCCTTGCTGCTCCCAGGATCCCCTCAGGGTCAAAACAGGAGCAGATCAAGAAGCATCCCGTACAACTTCTCGGACCACTGCCAGGATTCTGTAGACCTGATGGTCTTCATTGTCACCTCTTATAGCATCGAGACTGTTGTGGGGGTCCTGGGCAACCTCTGCCTCATATACGTGACCATTAGGCAGAAGGAGAAGGCCAATGTGACCAACCTGCTCATCGCCAACCTGGCTTTCTCTGACTTCCTCATGTGCCTCATCTGCCAGCCACTCACAGCCATTTACACCCTTATGGACTACTGGGTCTTTGGGGAGGCCCTTTGCAAGATGTCCGCCTTCATCCAGTGTATGTCGGTGACAGTCTCCATCCTTTCGCTTGTCCTTGTGGCCCTGGAGAGACATCAGCTCATCATCAACCCAACAGGCTGGAAGCCCAGTGTCTCCCAGGCCTACCTGGGGATTGTGGTCATCTGGCTCATCGCCTGCTTCCTCTCCCTGCCCTTCCTGGTCAACAGTGTCCTAGAGAAAGTCTTTCACAGGAACCACTCCAAGGCTGTGGAGTTTCTGGCAGATAAGGTGGTCTGTACTGAGTCATGGCCGCTGCACCACCACCGCATCATCTACACCACCTCCCTGCTGCTCTTCCAGTACTGCGTGCCGTTGGCCTTCATCCTGGTCTGCTACGTGCGCATCTACAGGCACCTGCGGAAGCGGAAGCGGGTGTTCCGAAAGGGCACCTACAGCTCGCAGGCGTGGCAGATGAAGCGGATCAATGCGATCCTTGTGGCCATGGTGGGTGTCTTCGCCGTGCTCTGGCTGCCCCTGCACGTGTTCAACAGCCTCGAGGACTGGTACCATGAGGCCATCCCCATCTGTTATGGCAACCTCATCTTCTTGGTGTGCCACCTGCTTGCCATGGCCTCTGCCTGTGTCAACCCTTTCATCTATGGCTTTCTCAACACCAACTTCAAGAAGGAGGTCAAGTCCCTGGTGCTGACATGTCAGCAGAGTGCCCATGTGGAAGAGTCCGAGCATCTGCCCCTGTCCACGGTGCACACGGAGGTCTCCAAAGTGTCTCTGAGGCTCAGTGGCAGGTCTAACCCCATTTAGTCCGGTCTAAAGCTTCTCCCTGCCATGTTCATTACCAGGCTCCACCATTTAGCTAAGTGGGCCAATTGCATCATTACTGGCAATGTTACTGGCATTCTGGTGGCACTCCATCACTACTGGCTTTCTGGAACCCAGAGAGGCTGGCCAGAGCCTATTTTTGCACCCATTTGCCTTGTGAAGCCTGACATTCAGATGGTCCAGCCGTTTGTTCCTGGGAGAAATCTGAGTCTGGATTCCGCAGGTCACAGCATGCCTTGCAGCCTGAGCAGGTGCCAGAAGCAGAGACGCTTGTAGAGGCAGAGTTCATTCTGGTAATTCACAAACAGATGCTCAGCCTGGGAACCCAAGGCTTTCACCTCTGCCAGCGAGACTGTGAGGTCACTGTGGGCTGAGGGAAGGAGCCCGTGGGGTCAGAGCTCTGGACCTTGGTCAACCCCTCACCTCTGGGAGAGCTGTTGTTGGCGGACAGACTTTGTGAGTGGTACAGAAGTCTATGAAGGCAAGATAGAGGGATTACTGTCATGTGATTAGCATAGTGTGTTGCAGAACACGGATCCTGGTAATCTTGGATCCTCGTGCTCCTCTGTAGGAGGAAAAGTCCGGCCTGAGCAACAGGAATCCCAGGATTCACATCCTGTTCCATCTTTCTCTTTCACTGCCTCTGCCACCTTAGGTGGAAACAAGCCTGCAAGTATCTCCCCTTGATAAGCACCTTGAGGGGGACATCTGCATTGTCCTAGAGCTGATCCTCCATACCGAGGACAGGCCCTGGTGCAGGGAGAGGGCTCCAGCAAGGTAGGCTGATGGCAAACGTGCCCCTGCTGAGTACTCAGCTGAGCACAGACGCCCTGCACCACGGTCCTGCATGGGAAGGGCTCAGGCTGCTGCAGCCATGCTCTTACCACCCCCTTCCTAGCCTGCAGGACTTCTCTTGACAAGGCAGCAGGCCAGGAAATCTGTGACCCTCCCCAGCGTTAACCCATTGCCAAGGCCAGTAGCACTCTGACCACTAAGCTGACTTGCTCTAGGTTATGGGCACCATTGTTCCAAAGCCTTGCCAAGCCTTCAGTAGGGGTAGGGACAGGGGGTTCTTTCGTTTGGCGTAATGGGACACTGGCTGACAGGAGTATGGGTTCCCCTTCCTCCAGCCCACCAGGGAAAATGGAGAAAGGGCTACAATGAATACGAATATCTCACCCATGGAGGTCATGCCCCAGTCTTTTGGCTGCCGACCCAGATCCAAGGCTTTATCTTTTTGTGGACTAGACAGACAGGTCAAGATTGCCTCTGGGCCACTTTTGATGGGAGGCCCAGGTCTGGCTCTTGCCTGCTCAGACCCAACACACCCTGGGGCAGAGTGGGCACTGGCTAGACCCACCATGGCCTCCTGGGGCAGGGTATTCAGGTGCCCAGAGCCCCCGAGGAGTCTCACTGGCAGGCTACTAGGACTGCTGTTCACAGGAAGTCTGGCAGAGGGCCACGCAGCAGGAGGTTGAACAGCCACGTCTGACTGTCTCTCTGACCTGGCCCCTGACCAAGAACTTGTGCAGCCGACACCCAAGTCAAGTGCTCTTTGAGCCACCAGCTCCCTTCCTGGAGCTGTTTGTTTCGTCCCAGCTTTTGGTGACAGCGTTCATTCTGTTCCTTTGGTGACCTTTACCTTGGCTTTTGGGATAGATTTTGAGCCACTCTATCGGGCACAGCTTGTGCTGGCCCTCTGGTGCCATCAGATGCTGGCAGCTCCAGGTACCTGCCAGCAAAGCCCAGACCCTGGGGCTCATCCCAGTGCGATGTCATTGACCAAGCTTCCCAAAGAATTTGGGGGCCTCAGGTCCGTCCAGAGCCTGTGCAATTGCCTAGAGTTTATGCCTCATTGCCCATCTCAGTGGGGATGCTTAGGGACAAGGATACTTTAGGGTGCCCACACCCTTGAGGGCAGGGAGACCGGGCTGGGCATCTGGCGAAGGTGCTTGGCATTAGGAATTGGGGTAGTGGGTGAAAGCTTCATTGAGCATCTTCTGTGCTCCCCTCGCCTTGCTTGGGTGGACACAACCTGCCCGGATGGCTATCTCCTGCTCCCAGTTCCTAATGCCCCTTGCAGTTGTCTGGTTCCCCAGCACCTTGGAATCTTGCTGCTGAAAGTATGGTCAGAAGACCAGCAGCCTCAACATCACTTGGAACTTGGTAGACATGCAGGATCTCTATTCCCACTTGAGACGTATTGAATCAGAATCCGCATTTGATCAAAATCTCCAAGTTAATGGTGTACACATTCAAGTGTGAGAGGCTCTGCTCTAGAAACAGAGTGCCCTGCAGCCTGGAGCCAGTCGGCGAGCCCTGAGGACACCCACTCTGGGATCTCGAAGGGAGCTCTAGGAATCCTAGTTCCGGAGATTAGGCTTTACAGTGGTATTGCTGAAAAGGTAGGTTGTTTGGTTCTGGTTGTTTGTCTCATCTCTGCATGTGGACATAATTCATGTGACGCCTTTTCATTCCTTCAATAAATATTTACTGAATGAACAGTTTGTGCAGTTACATTCTTAGTGAATGTGCCCCTCTGTATTCTGCTCGACTTCACTTAAAACTGTCGTCATGGTTTTCCATGATGCTGCCTATCATTTTTGACGGCTGATTATGAATTTAGGAAATAGCTCTAGCTCCTGGGTCCCAGCTCATGGGCATGTCCTTGACTGTAGTGGGAGGAGCCCATCTTCCGAGGAGCATTGGGGCTGGAACTGGAGCTGCCCACCCACAAAGACCACCTGGGGACCCTTAGAGGGAGCAAAGCATGACCCAGCCCTGGTGGTGGGAACGTAAATCCTGCCTCACTCCAGCACTTCCTTTTCTCAGAAATGACATTGGCTTGTTTTTTCCCCATTATAAAAGTTAATCATGTTCATTCTTGAACATACACGAAATAGGCAACAACAAAATGAAAAAGGAAATCATGTTCTGTCACCCAACCATATTCAGTGTTTACATTTTTTGGGAGTCATTTCTTTAGTTTCTGTGTACATAGTGTTAGTTTTATTAGAAAAACATGGTTAAGATCATACTGCAAGTGTCTGCATATTTATGTATAATATTAAATATTTTTAAATATCTTTTTTTGCTTGACCTTGTAAGAATTTTTAATCATTCAACAGATACGTCAGACACATGGTAGGGGCTGGAGATACAGTGGTAAATAAGATAGACATTGTCCCTCTTCTCATGGAGTTTATAGTCCAATGACTAGACCCATCCTGCCTCCTTAATCATGTGGCGTATTTAGATGTTTCTAGACCTATTATGTGTAGTTCTGTGATGAACTTCTACGCAGAGAACTTTTTCTAATTTTTTATTTTTAAAAAAATATTTTTAAAAAATATTTTAAGTTGGTTCCACACTCGATGTGGGGCTTGAACTCATGACCTGGAGATCAAAAGTCACACGCTCTACTGACTGAGCCAGCCAGGTGCCTGCAGAGAACTTTTTCTGTATTTGGAATTATTTCCTTAGGAGAGATTTCCAGAAGTGGAATTAATGGGTCAAAGGGCGTGGACATTTTTCAAGGCTCATGATGGGTACTGCTAAACTGATTTCCAGAGAGACTGGAATGGTTTGTGCTCTGTGGCTAGTGCTTGTTTTACTGTAACCCGGCCATGGTTGAGGGGTTACCATTAATGAGCAGACCTCCGTTGTTCACTAGATCCTGTCCCTGCTCACCTCCTGAATGTCACTCCAGCATCCTCCGTTCTGGGCTCTCCTTTACACAGAACTCCTCCTAAGGCTTGTCTTATCTTGACATCTCTGCTTCTTCTCCTCCCATGTTCTTTTGTACTCACCTGTGCATCCAAACAGCTCTTGCCAAGGTCACCAGTAACCCCCACGTTGCCAGATCCCATGGTCAGGTCTCAGTTTCGTCTTTTGTGACCAATTAGCAGCATTTGGCAGTTGGCCCATCCCTTCTCCTTGGATCTCTTTCTGCATGTGGCTTTTTCAGGACACCACACTAATGGTTCTGCTGGGCAGTCCTTCTCAGATTCCTTCTTGGATTCTGGTCTCCCTGCCCTTAGAATATTGGCACATCCCCAGAAGACAGGAAGGCCCACCTCTAATTCCCTAGGTGGGCTCACCCAGTCTCCTGGCTTTCAACACCACCGAATGTTTAAGTGTCTAATGCTCCCAAATGTGAATCGCCAGTCTGCACTTCTCTCTGCTCTCAGATTTGTATATCCAGCCACTGCTTTGTGTTGACTGGATCAAACTTGGCATGTTCAAAAGCAGACTCCTGATTTGTTGCCTCTCCTCTTCTCCCTCAGTTTCCCTCCCCCCTTCGTTAAATGGCAACTCTTTCATTTCATTTGCTTGGGTCATAGTCTTAGGATCAGCTTTCCATTCACAGCCCACATCCAATCCACCAGTGAGTTCTGTAAGCTCGGCCTTCAAAATGTATTGGGAATGACCACTTCTCACCTCCCCTGGCTTTGCCACCTGGTCCAAGCCATCAACATCTCTACCAAGATGATTGAAGTGGCCTTGTTTCTGCTCTCGCTCAGGCAGAGCGATCCTTTGAACACCTCTGTTCAAAACTCTTTACTGGCTTTCTGTCACTCTCAGAGCCAAATTCATAGTCCATGGTCTACCTGAGTTGTCCATCTGCTTGTTTCTGACCTCACTTGCTACCACTCTTCCCCTCTCTCACCCCCTTCAGCAGCGCTGGCCTCCCTGCTGTCTCTTGAACACTCTAAAATTGCTCCTACCTCAGTCCTTTGTACTTCCTACTCCTGCTGCTACCCTCTGATATCAACATTTTCACTCCCTTGCTCCCTTCACCTTAAGTGAACCTTTATCAGCAGATTACTTCCTCAGCCATGCTATGAAAATACAACCTTCTCACCCTGCATGCCTCCTTTATGCTACAGGACTTAGAACCCTGTGACATGCTTGCACACATTTATTGTTCCATTGTTGAGTGCCTTACTTCCCCATTAGGATGTAAACCCCATGAAGGCAGGGACCTTGTATGTTTTATTTACTGTCTGGTTCTTAGAAGAGTGTCTACATATGGGAGGTGCAGAAGAAGTATCTGTAGAGTGAATACATTTAAAAAATTTTTATAGTTAATCAGTGGGGGGTGCTACTTTAACTTCTTATTTGTGGAGTGCAGGCATTTGGTTTTGTAGGATTTTGGTACTTGGTCTAGTACCAGCGGCACCAGCTGGTTGTATTTGCTAGCTGACTGTGTGACCCTGAGAGGCCGCCGCTGCATCTTGGTTTCTGATTCTTCATCTGTAATGACACTGGCTACTATGTACTTAGAGTTCCAAACACTGTGCTAGACACTCTAGAGACATTGCCTCTCCTCAACCCTCAGAGTGGATAGATGAAGAAATGGGTGGAGGGGCAAAAAAACTTCATCCAAATTTTCAAAAAGAGCCAGATTTGAAACCCAATCTGATGGATTCCGAAGTCCATGACTTGGACTGTTACAGCAGGGAAGAAGGTTAACCAGATGACCTTCCAGCTTTTAGCTAGACAGTTTGAACTTTATGGGTAATGAAGGGACCATAAAGGGCTTTAAGCAGGGGAATGGCATGGTCAGGTTACATTTAGAGAGGTCAGTGTAGCTGAATTGACCTGGGTTCCCCTAAAGCAGAAGCTGAGGCAGAGGCTTATAGGCTTTTCCTTTATTGGAGAATGCAATCCCAAGGAACAAAGTGAGGACACGGGAAATGAGATAGGGAAGGAGAGAGAGCCCATTCGAAGATGTGTTATTGAACTGGCTGTTTTTCAAAGGCAGCTGATTACTCGATCTTTTGTATAACTCCCAGGACAGTCTGTTGGGAAGGAGAAAAAAATAAGAATTTAACCATTAATCTCTGTATTTCACTTGCCAAAGTGTTTCCCCGTGGAGTTGTGCATTCATAGACCTTGAACACACCTTTATATGAATAGAGCAGCTCCGGGGAGAGGTGAGAAGATGTGCTGTGAGGGTGTAAGATGAGGTGGCATCAGGTTGCACCTGCAGGAAGTTGCTCAGAGCCCTGCAGAGCTGGATGCTGCAGTGACCACTGGTCCAAGCAGCAGGCGAAGACTAGAGGATCTGAAGGTGGGCATAAGTGGCTTCTGATGTGGGGCAGAGCTGGAGGCGGGATGGCTGGTGTCGTCAGTTGAATTGTGTCTCCTCCACCCCCAAATTCATATGTTGAAGTTTTAACCCCCAGTACTTCAGAATGTGACCTTATTTGGAAGTAGGGGCATTGTAGATATAATTAGTTGAGATGAGGCCAGGCTGGAGGAGGGTGGCCCCCTAATCCAATATGGTTGGTATCCTTATAAAAGGAGGAGATTTGGATCCAGAGACACACACACACACAGTGAAGATAAAGGAAGAGGTCTGAGTGATGCTTCTACAAGCCAAGGAAGGTCAAAGATTGCCAGCAAACCATCAGAAGCTAGGGGAAAGTCATGGACACATTATTCCTCACAGCCTTCAAAGGAACCAACCTTGCTGATACCTTGATTTTGGACTCCTAGCCTCCAGAACATTGAGATAATACATTTCTGTTATTGAAACCACCCAGTTGTTATGGCAACCCTAGCAGACTAGTACAGGAGGTAAGACTGAAGGCAGGAAGAAAAGTTACTCCAGTTACCTGGAGCTGAATCTGGTGATAGGACATTGAGGTCAGCAAACAAGATGGGGTCCTAGGACATGGGGTGGGACAGTGCCCAGCAAGGAGGCCCGGTGGACAGGGCAGCATCAGTCAGACACAGGGGCTATTTCTCAGAGCTGAGCCTGGCAAGTTATGACATGAAGAAAGTTATCCTCACCAAGTAAGTTGTTCTGTGGCCCTAGTTCTTTAGAGAACCAAGGACAGCTTTAAGGTCAAGCTTCTTGGCTGGAAGTTGGGAGTTGTTACTGTGACTTCCAGCTTTGCAGGGATACAATAATGCCCGAGAAAAGGCTGAAAAGATCTGGAAGTTCTCAATGAAGAAATCTTTGATTCCTACAGTGTGTGGAGGGGAAAGTCTGATGGTGGAGGAATGAACGTAGCTGTCGTCTCTGTCTTAAAGTGGGTCATGCTGACTTGGACAGACATCCTTTGGTGACAGAGCTCTTGGCTTGACTTTGTCTCGTGGTGGGACTTTTCCCTAGAATATCTCTTCAAGGTTCCGGTACGTTTTTCAAGGCTGCTGCAAATACATAGACATAGACCAGCCTGGGGCCCCTAGGTCTTGAGAAGACAATGGGAAGGGGTTTGCAGAGCAGATTAGGATGCTTTCCTCGCTGACAGCAACCCAGCACTTCCTACCCTGGGCAGCTGAGAAGGCATCTGCAGGGTGAACTTGCCAATGAATCACAGAGTGGGAGGGTTCTTGTGAATGTGGCTGTGTACTCATGACCTTTGAGGTTTCTAGTTGTTTAAGTGTCACCATTTATTTGAAATTGATTCCTGTCAGACTTTGA